TTTTGTGTACTCAAAACTCATTTTTGTCAAGTTACAAGTTTTAGACAGGTACAAAAATGCCTGTCCTGCATGGCGCCCCGTAACCCGACCAGGCTGTGTGACTAACGTCACGGCCAGGCTGTGTGACTAACGTCTAACCCTAGCAATACCGTTTCCTGGAGCTAGGCGCCCCGTAGATCGGGCGATCAGCAGACGAAACTCGTGCTCGTGCTCTAGCTCCCGGCATGCAACTGTACCCCAACCTTTTCAAACATGGCGGCGAGTTGACTATATTTCTGTAGTCTGTGGTTTATGCTGTTTATTAGCTATGCTTGTAAGACGTCTGTCGCTGGTTATATTTCTGGTTTATATTATTCTCACGTGCTATTTTGCGTACTTGCTAATTTATAAAAATTTAAAGAAACCTGCCAATGATTACACCAAATTCTGGGAGATCGAAGGTAAATATCAATTGGGCCCTATCATTTTACTGTTTACAGTCGGTGTGTAGCTCTGAGATCGGTTCAAGCACAGGCCCTTGGAGGCTCAAGTTTCGAAAAATTATAAGTCTATATTAAGAGCGAAGCGGACCGCTTCGCTCTTAATATAGACTTATAATTTTTCGAAACTTGAGCCTCCAAGGGCCTGTGGTTCAAGGATAGAGAACATGGGTCCCAATAAAACCAATGTCATTTACATCAATATAAATATAATATTATATCAATATAATAGGTTAGGGTTATGGTTAGGGTTAGGGTTAGGATTAGGGTTAGAATTAGGGTTAGGCCTTAGGGTTAGGTTTAGGCACATTGGTTTTATTGGGACCCATGTTCTCTATCCTTGGGCCCTGAGATCTACCAGTTCCACTCTCCCAGTAGCAGTGTCGGCCCCTTTCGCTTCCGCTGCAAAACTATACTACAACCTATGTCGGGAATCGGAGAAGAATGTTTACATCGTGGCCGGCAACGCTGTAGTCCGTGGCACATTAAAAAATCACCCTAGCCAGCAACATAAACATTGGCTCAAGAACTATAATACTATTACTAGTAGTAGTATAGCCGTTCGCTCTGCCACAGGGCTATAGCCTATAGCACAAACTATGTTGAAGCTGGGCAACGATACTGCTGCTCCTGCTCCCACGAGGAACGGCTCCTACGATAAAATCAGGCTAACGCTCCATTACTCATTAGGAGTGTTCCCAACTTTGATACGGTATCATTAATGATTAATGATTGATAATCCTAACCCTAACCCTAACTTAAATGACATTAAACCACAAACTAATATATGACCATGACCATATATATATATATATGTTATTATGACCATTATATTAATGACATTAAAGTTGGGAACACTCCTAATGGAGTATCACCCTAAAATCATACATGTTTTCAGTACAATTACAACAGTACCACGGTTTTTATATGCTAACATAATTAACATGGCATGTAAGAGAAATGCAAGAAAAGAGTAATTGCACAATGTTCAGTTAAAGCCGCACAATGCGCATCCGAACGCTAATTTCTCCAGTACTAGACTAGCAAATACTTCGTGTCATGCATAATCAGTCTACCTTATGACAAAATAAACTCTAGTTCCTCCCATTTCACTGCGCGTTGTCTTGTAAAAGGTATTTGAAAATACCTCCAATGTTGTTAAAATTCTCCGATGTTGTTGACAGTTTCCCCAAGCAACCGTGCAGCGGTGCTGCGGTACAGCAGTATGGGTGTAGCAAAGATAAAAACATGTGACGTCACCTTACCACTTCGAGGCTAAATTGTTTGGCAAACAGTCGGCGTTTGCACCAGAATGCCAGTTTTCTCACCTCTTTCTTGTGGGTTTTAAGCAAACGCGCAGTGAAATGGGAGCAACTAGAGTTTATATTGTCATAAGGTAGTGTGATTATGCATGACACGAAGTATTTGCTAGTCTAGTACTGGAGAAATTAGCGTTTGGATGCGCATTGTGCAGCTTTAAAGGTCTGTTGAATGCAAGGATGAATGAATTACAGATTTTGCGTAATTTAAGTGTAATTAGAGATCGAGTTCAGGGTGCGAAATTAACGGGAGTTCGGAGTCAAATACTCCCTGATTTACTGCTGGACTGCCTGATTTTACATATGCAGGAGTCCGCGTGACTCCCTGAAAATTCTGCTATGCTAACTAGTTCGTTCCAGAGCACGGCCTCGCGGAATGTTTCAGTATTAAAATGGCCAAAGAAAATTTGGCAGATGTGCAACTTCATGAACCTTCAAAATAAGCACATGCATTATTGTTAATATCTTTAGTTTTGAACTTCAGACTGCAGACTCTCTCATTTTGCTGCGGACTCTATCTTTTTGAGGTCACAGACTCCCTTGTTCACAAGTTAATTTCTACCCCTGGAGTTAATTGTGTGGTGATGGGTGACATGCATTCTTGGCTGACTTCAGATCCGGCAGATGAGGGCTGGAATCCGTGGGGTCAGGAGTTTGAGAGGGAAGAGGACAGAAAAGTGATAAAGCTCGCAACTAAACCCAGGCTGAACTGGGCCGCCAACAGGAGTTTGGACCAGTATGAGAAAAAGAAAGCCAACTTAAATGCACCAGGAGAGTATAGAGTTGAGATTTGGGGAAAGGCTGCCATCGGTAAATATAAATTATTACTAATATTTTACGATAATTTGTACAATCTTGTAAGATGTTTTGTGCAGAAAATCCTTATAAAAATTGTGCCATTACATTTCTTTGTAATTTTATTGCTCATGCAGGCCTATACCTGTGGGAACACATCTTTCAAGGAAAGCTTGAATCGAAAATGGAAGGAACGTGGAGCTCAGGATTTCGCAAAGTTGGGAATATAAAGTTTGTGTATGTATGAGGTTCCAGTTGTGCAAATATTTGTTATGTCCATGAACAAAGTGTAGATACCTTACACAAAGAGCTAATAATACATAGTTTATAACGAGAAAATTGAGGAAATTTTGCTGTCTTGCACTCGGTAACTGAAAAATATCCAAAACACCATTTTTACAAGAATTCAAAATTTTCAGAAATTTCATGAAAATTCTCGCCTTAAGGATAGAGATACATCTCATCTATAAATAAAACGTGGGATTAATTTGATTCATTAGTTAGTAAACGTTTACTCTTCATACGAGCAAAACCTGGACAACAAAAGCTGGACAGTATCGTTAAGTGCAGCTTGCGCGTCTGTGTGGCAGGTTCCGCACCGGACCCGGAGTGATCCCGAGCAAGGTCCCGCCGAACACGGAGCACGTCGTGCTCATCCTGAACACGCGCGACGAGGGGAAGGTCGAGTTTGCACGCATCTGGCTCGACTTCCTGCCGAAGCTACGGCGTCTGCGGCTCGCCATCGTCATCCTGCTCGGCGACGAGCGTTGCCGTAACGACTGGCTGCTGCCGTACATGGCGATGCGCGGTGGCCTCATCAACTACACATACGTTGTCTACGACAGTCCGCTTGTCGACGACAAGAACTTCTTCCAGTGGCCTCTCGGGGTCGCCACGTGAGTGCTCGTCGCACGTACATACGGGCGGCGTTAATTTGCCGTAGTTTCAGATGGTGTTTAAGTGGTTGGAACGACGGTGGAGGGAGAGAGAGGCACTCGCGGACAGAATGTGAGACCGAAACAGAAAGAGAGGGGGGCAGAGAGAGAGGGAAGGAGGGTGTGAGGTAGGAAGGGCGGTTAGACTAAGAGTGAGAGTAAGAGTGAGACTAGGACTGACTGAAACTAGCTAAGACTGACTGACTGACTGACTGACTGATGGGCTGACTGACATATTGACTGACTGAGTGATGGGCTGACTGACATATTGACTGACTGAGTGATGGGCTGACGGACAGACTGGCTGGTGGACTGACGTATGGACTGAGGGACCGAC